ATAGTGTTCAACCATATTATTAATTTCATGTATCTCTTCCTCAGTAACATAAGGAGAAACTACACCTTCCTCTTGTTTAACTGCTTTACCATAAAGATGTGTTAATAATGCTTCGAGAAATATATTGGGATCTTTCACTTTTTTTAGTTTCTCCAATAGTTCACAATTGATCTGTTCTTTTTCATCGATGACAAACTTTTGCACGAGAATGTGAAACCTATTATTAACACGATTTTGTAAATCATTAAGCATACGTTGTTGTTCGTTTGCTGCTGAATTTTTCGTTGGTTGCGTTAATCTCAGGATAACAGTTCTACATTGTTCACGTGTTTGTTCAGCTGTTATTGTACGAGATCGATTAGACGACATTATCTGAAGTTTTAAAGTAGAATCTATCCTTTTCGCATACATTGAACAAATTTTAAATGCCGAAATATTGATTATTACGTCAAAGTATTATGATCATATGTTTCGTTCTACTTTTATATCCAAAGTGGGGCGCCAAACTTTTTCTCTAGCTATCTTTTTCGAAATATTCCCAAAGTCAGAGTTCATTGGCCTCCACAAGAATAAATGTACTTGATATAAAAGAAAACGATTTTCAACAACAAATTGAAAACCTTTATATTGCTTTGTTGGAGAATTTTTCAATATAAAACCTAATTTCATTTTTTTACTCTTCATTGAAAGAGATATTGGATTAACATTTCAAAAAATTGAATACATAAAGAAAAAAAAAGCCTTTGGATTTCAATATCTGACATGGGAGAATAATAATGATCTTTTAATTCAATGATTTTTTCTCTGAAAAAATTGAATTTCTGTTGTAAAGTAACACTCTTAGTTATTAAGTTGGTGAATAAGTGCAAACGATATAGAATTCGCAAGTATAACAACAGTGTATGTTTATCAATATTCTTTCTTATCACCAGTATCACTTCTGCATGTGATATTAGAAAAAAAAGGGAAAAAACGAAAAACTACATACAAAATTTTTTTTCTGCACATTTTATTCGAATCTATTGGTTGACAAGTTTTCGTGAGCTACTTGTTACCATTTAAGAATTAGTTTATCACATAGAAATGTTTTCTCTATTGTTGATTTTATATTTGTTTTCATAAATATAAAGATATGCTTTCTCTTTATTTTATAAAAATAAAGACTTTATTTTAATTTATTCTTTATTCTAGATATATATAAGGATAAGGTAACACTTATAATTCAATCAATTGCATTGAATTGACTGTTAATTGATCAACAAGTGAGTAATTGAATTCGAACAAATTGTCTAACAGATCATCGCATCTCTTTCATTAATCATAACTATGAGGAGTTAATCTATTTGAGTGTCGGCAGTTTTGGTCAATGAAGAGGAAGTCGAGAGTCATAGATTCTCAATATAAACTAATTTTCGATAGTTTCATGATAATTTCGTTTGATATAATGATAGAAATCTTTACTTTAATGTATATTTCAAAGAATATTTAGATATGGGATTTCTGGATGATGCTTGGGAGTGGGTATGTGGAATTGCAAAAACGGTTTATATATGGCTCACGGCACTTTGGGATTTTGTAAAAGTTACAGTGGAAGCAGCATCGGCTATCTTAAGTGGAAAAACAAAAGAATTTTGTGAATTATTTGCCCTGAGGATCCTTGCCAAAAAAATCAGAGAAAAAGCTGCTGAGCTCAAGAAAAAGCTCTCGAGGAGCGATCAAGAAGAACTCGATGAGCTTGTGGATTCTATCGACACAAGAGGATAAGGGTGTGAAGGAGCTGTCATGACTAGTTTCGCGTTGCTTAAGGGACTCATCAGATGGCTTCTCTATTTTGTTTTTTTTTTCGAGTAAAATTCAAAACAAGATGGATCTTCAATATTAAACAGAGAAGGGTGTCGGTATAGCTGTGAGTGTGGATGTGGGAGTGGGTGTGATTATGAATATATTATTAGTTGAATCAATCAAAAAGCTGGGAAGGCATGTGTTTCGATTACTGCTGAAGTAATCACTTATCAATTGTTTATCATTATTAAGAAATTTTTCGAGATTGAACGCATCACACGACGTTTCATCCTTGCTTAAGGGACTCATCAGGTATGTTTACAATCAAGTACATTTAATCTAGAACTCTCCAATTCTGAAGTAGTTAAAGATTAATCCGTACTAAAATCCAAATAACGATATAAAATCATTATTGAGAAATTTTTCGAGATTGAAAGCATCACACGACGTTTCCTCCTTGCTTAAGGGACTCATCAGGCATGTTTACAATCTATTATTACATAAGAATTCTAAACTCTCCAATAACTTGAAGAAGTATTAGAACTATTTCGTAATAATCAAAATCCAGTAATAATAAATATAAAGTTGAAATTCAAAGCATCACACGACGCGTTTCGATCAGGGCTTAATCTGATCCTCATCAGGCATGTTCAGAATTTCATAATTACATAGAAGTTATAACTCGATCAAATATATGACGAAGTTAAAACTTAAATCGTAATTAAATAACAACCATATATTTAAATAATAAGGGTGTGGGTGTGTAATAGAGATATCACCGTTCCACGACAACAGTTGTTTCTGTCTTGGCGGGACTTCGTCAGGTGGATTACTTAATATTACATCTACTTAGATAATGTAATTCAAATAAGTGTTGTATAACATAGAATTACATATTTCGATATAAATTTGAGAAGTAATTCCAAAGGAATCTATCAAATAGCTAGCAAGACCGGTTTCGATAAGTGCTCTAAGAGAATCTTATCAATTGCTTTTTGATTTTGAACAAATAATTTCTCCGACTGTAAATGTTCGAGTCAGAAGTTTTGAAGAAAACTCCCAAGCTTCGAAACACCTACAAGAATATATCATCGGGTAAACTTATTCGAAAACAAGTACCCAACAATTTTTGAGATGAGAATATCCAATAAAATAGGAGATAAGATTTTAAATTCAGAGCATCACACGACTAGTTTCATCCTTGCTTAAGGGTTTATTATCAGGCATGCTTACAATCTATTATTACATAAGAATTTTCAACGCTCCAGTACTTTGAAGTAGTTTAGAACTAATTCGTAATAACAAAATCCGGAATAATATTATTTTAGTATAAAGGATTTTCGAGATTGAGTGCCAGTAGTGGTAAAGTTGAAACTTGATTTGAATAATTCAAAAGCTGTTTAAATTATTCAGTTATTATTAATATCTAAATGGTGTACTCGGCCAGTCCCTGTGCCGCACCCACAGTATGTAATTTAGTGTAGGTGCGTGTTAATGTGTGGTGATCCATTGTGTTAGTGGTTTGTCTTAGATGAATAATTGAATAGTTGAAGTTCAACCATTGAATTATTGAATTCAAGTTTGAAGTTTGACATGTAGCTAGTTTTACTACGGACGATCAAATTACTGAAGGATAAAAGTTATATAAAAGTTTCAGGGAAAAATGAGAGTTTCAACAAACTTTTAACGAGTTTTCGTACATGATGACTAATATTTTCTAATTTGCTAACTTTTGAGATAAAAGAAAGAAAGATATATTAGACATGGCACTAGCTTCCAGAATATACGGCGTATATAGAATTGAATTTGTCAGATAAATCAAGTGATACTCACGACTGGTTTCGACCTTGCTTAACGGTGACATGAGACGGTTTAGTTGTATACACGTTTAGAAATGATCCTATATGGGATCAAAAACAAAAGTGTAAAAATGATTCACCGACAATGGTGATACAGATTACCAGATCGAGTTTTGACTTGACTTTAAGTCTTATTGTCTGGTTTATGCTGCAAACGATTGCAGTAAAATTCCATGTGATACGAATATCACATATCTGTATGTATCGGTTGGGGTATATATATTGAAATTGATTACTGAGAAAGAAATCGGTGAATGGGTAGTGGTCACCGTATATTAGCGACATCTAGGGTGTTCCAT